AATCATAGATTGTTTTTGCTTAACACCGGTATACCATATCAAAATTAAAAATACATCAAATATCAATAACACATTATTCTTTATTATTATAATACGGTTATAAAAGTATTATTATGTTATGTTATTATTATATAGTTCGGCCCATACAAATATATTCAAACAGTCCAGAGGCAGCAAGAGCACACCTTGCTGCCCCTGTGCGCACGCCTATGCATTGTACAGTAAAGCGACATCCACTTACCCGCTTTTAAAAAAAATGTATTTTTAAAAATTCATCAGATTTCAAAACAGAAAATGTGTGGTATGCCAATGCAGAATGATATCGAAATACCTATCATTTAATTAAAATTATAACAATATAATAACATGTATTCATAGGGAAAAAAAATAAAAATTTAAAAAAAAAATATTAAAATGTAAGGGATTAAAATTTAAAACATTAATATATATTCAATAATACCTCTTTAGCTTTTTTCCAACTATCAAATCAGTAACTAAATATTTTAAAGGTTGCACCTATTCCACCGGTTTTTGCAAAAACAACCACAATGCTTACAAAAAGTTCCACCTTCAACTTCCAAATAAACAAGCTAATTGAATTTGTTCAGCCATTTATGTTGACATTTTAAACCTCTTTTTTTTTGTTTTTTTCATTTAATGGAAATACGTAATTATGATTTGGTAACCATAAATTGGTAAGCACCTACAGATTTTAAACAAAAAACAATTACAATGTAATTTATATCATATTATGATATGTTGGTAGGTATTATAACTATAGTTCAGACTAAATCCGACATAAGGCATTAGCATTCGAAAAGCTTACGGTATTTTTTTATTCGTCATACACAACTTGTGTATATATACTTATTACTTATAGTTGCTTTTGGTTACAAAAAAATAAAATAGTTATTACGTTTGGATCGATTGGGTATTATAAATTTCAAAATAATTGAATAATTGAAGTAATTTGAAATATGTAATACAATTATTGAACTGTTTTATACATGTTATGTTAACCGTAAAAAAACTGTATAATTATAATAAATCATAATATGTGTTTTAAATAGTATACCATATATAATTATTGTTACTTATAAGTTATAATAGGTAGTAATTACTATAATATGATATTATATACCTACGAATCTACGATATGTATCAACAACTCACATTTTAACACAATAACACTAACCTATCTGAAATTTTTAAGAGGACATTAAACTTAATAAAATTATATTATGTGTTCTTAAATTTATTCGTCTTATACAAATAACGGAATAATAATTGACAATAACATAACAAATTTGCCTCCAGCCACTCCAATTTTGTGTTGTTAGCTTTAATATTATCGTTAATTGACCAATAATTATCAAACCTAATCACAAGACTATTTCTATGTTCTCTTGTTAGTTTTGTTCAATATTAAAATGTTTAAGACAATTATGGTCATTTTTAAATATAAATATTTTATACTCTATTTAAGACACTCATAATTTGGTTAAAATTAAAATATCGACAAGAAAACACAGACAATATTCTTACCTTTGTGATGGGTAATGGTCAATTCACATTAATATTTAATCCAATTACACAAAATTGATATTGTTGAACGGAAATATTAAATGCCATTACATAAAATATATTATATACGGCATTAAAAATACAATTAATTGTTATAAGATAAATATCGATAAAAAGTTCAGGAGGGATCTACTCCCACCACTATACTATACCATATTATATATTCCATAAAGCATAATATACACTTCGGATTCACATATTATATATTTATATGACTATGTTATAATGTAAATGTAGCCATGTGTACATGTATATGGTGTATTATACATTTAAATATTGCGCGTTATATTATATAGTGAATAACTTGAACCGAAGAGTGTCTATTATAAATACCTATTAACTATATTACTAATACATATCAAACGTCAATCGTTACGACAAAACCTGATTTTTATTACTTTAGGTATTTGCTAACGCCGTTATAAAATAATAAATAATAACCATGAGTAAAAATTGTTCCGTATATTTATTTAGATTATGGTTGACAATAGTTAACTTCTTTGTTATGTTTCATTAATCATTGCTTTGACACGTTGGCGGATAAATATATTTTAATTAGTTGGTAATATATTTAGGTAAGTATTCCATAAATAAGACTAATGAGCTTGTTGAATAAACTGTTTGTAATTATAATAGATTATAATATCTGTACAGTTGCATCAATGCATATTACAATTTTTAGTATCGTTATAGTGTTATTATGTATCCATCTACGATCTACTCAACGTTTGTCTGTAGAGAAATGTCGATAATTTGTTTAAAATCTATTACAATTATCATTTTTAATATTTTAACAACAAGCATTAGAGTGACGTCAATGTGGAGAAATGAATATCAAACTACGATGTACCTACCTTATATAAACAAATGAGTCTTTATATAATATATTCTATAAACCAGAATTGTCAGGCGGCAAACGAGTTATCGACCTTGAAGATAAATGCCAGACCACGAAGGTAATACGGATATTATTCTTGAAGATATTATTTTGTAATAGGTAGGTACCTAGTCGTTCATATAGTTCTAGTGTTAACGTATTCTTTCATTGTCATATTTTTACTATTTCTTCATCACAGTATTGTAAATCTTAAACAGTAGTTTATATTATACAAACAGTGACGAGGTGTTAGGCCATATCATTTTTGTGTTAGGTACCTATATCTTCGATTGTTCGTTTGGTTTTTGATCATATGTATATAAAGCGTCCAGTATGATTCATCGTGAGTGTGCTACCTAGGCATATCTCTATTTCGAAGTTATATCGTGCGAAACAACTATTTAATTTTATATAACGATAAACTTTTTACTTTTTTTTATGCGTGTCAAAAAATTAAAAAATTTCATATTTTTATAAATCATGTTCCGTGTCATCAATTTTGTGATTGTGTTAAGTACTGTGGTGCCCTATGAAAAGGTGTTCGCCGCAAAACAGAATCCCCCTCATATAGTTTTTGTAATGGCTGACGACTTGGTAAGTGTTTTTATGAGAAAAAACGGAGTAATACAAATAATACATATATAGTATCATAAGTCATATAGATTTAAAGTATTCTAGTCTTCTAAATAATGACCTTTAAGCCCAATCAGACTAAAATATTTATTGTAAAAAGCAAATACATTATATATATATATATCTTTAATTCAAATTAAATAATTTTTGATTCTGAGCGGAGTGTTTAATTCATTTATTTTAAGATGTGTGCTTATTTTGATTAATTTTAGTAGTCGTAATTTTATGGAAAAAATTAAGGAAAATTGAAAAGTGACTAACTAATTGACTAAATTAAAAAAAATAATAACCATAAGGCATAGATATGTATACAAATGTATATATATCAGCATTTTATATACGCAATACATTTTTTGAAATAATAAAATATGTTGACTCTTTTTGAGTTAATATTATATTTTATAGGCATATCAAATTTTCGATTATTGTCGATAAAATATACAAGTTTAATAAGTACAACAACGTTCCTCGTTTCTCGTAAGTTATTTTTAKTAGAAATAAAAAAGTAGTCGAGTGTAAATCGACAAACATTTTTTATGAGCATCTATTGTTCAATTTTGTTGTCATTGAATGTTCAAATGTTAATTAATAAATGTCAAATCAAACGATGTTCTTATTTTATTGCAATTCAAAAACGAATAACCGCAATTTGGTACTTTATAATAATATGCTAATTTTATCATTTTCTATTTTACTTTTTTTTTTTTAATTTGACTCTTTTTGAGCTTTTTATAGGCATGAGAAATTTTTGTATATATTTGGAACTTATCCACCTGATTTTTTTTGGCTTAAAAATCCGGACGCGAATATTTGTTCATTTTTTAACAGTGCATACTATTTTTATTAGTTGGGTACCAAGATAAAAATTCTACACAAATAAATTGGTCCCAGTTATTATAACAATCAGGTTATGATGCATGACTCTCCCATATAGGTTTTTTTTTGTATTTAGTAATTTTTTTAAATTATTTTTTCTCATTATTAATACGAACGATAGCGATTAAGAGCTTATTATTTCACAACTAATATATAAATCTATAAGATATTGATATAATAGGTACATAAACATAATATATAATAATATATTATATTTTGTTTCGTGTTAACCTAACCTTTATTATACGTGTATATGTATATTCTGACAATATTTAAGTACTAGATTGTGTATAATTCCTTGTATATTAAACTATAATATAGTACAAGGTATATATACCTATAATTTTTGTACTATAATGTATTGATGTGCGGTAGGAGTATAAATATAATATAATAATATAATATATTAATATGTAGGTACCAACTATACACTATACTTATATTTTGTAAACTATCGTGTTGTGTTGTCTCAAATATAAAAAGGTAAAAAGTGTTATGCGCATATTTAATTGATGTTAAAAATTTAAATTCCATACACACTTTATAGGGTTGGAACGACGTCAGCTTTCATGGTTCAAACCAAATAAATACTCCCAATATCGATGCACTGGCATATGACGGAATAATTCTAAACAATCATTATAGCGAATCTTTGTGTACACCGTCTCGGTCGGCATTGCTTACTGGAAAATATCCTATTCATACCGGTTTGTTATTGATTATTATTATTATTGTTATTGTTATTGTTATGGCTATTAGTATCTTACAATATTATTACAGCCTACAGGACTTCAGCTATACATACTAAAATCATTGTGACGCTGTTAATATTGTGGCTATTTATAATTTATATAGGTTGTAATTACCTTACAACTTGTAAAGTAGTTGTATTATAGAGGCATAGCCCTAGTCATTATAGATTCAAAAATACATTTTAATGAATTGACGGAGTACAGATTACAGACATCATCATGTGCTATAATGTTATAATACCTACTACAATTAACAATAATTTAATAGGTACCTACAAACATGAAATATTATATATTAGGTAGCCAGGTAGGTATCTACCTATTTTATTGTAATATTAAGTTTTATTAAGTATTAAATTATTTCATAATTTTAATATCATAATATAAATTACAAGTCACAATCAAGACCAACACATTGAAATTAAGCTATAGGTATTATACCTAGTCACTTTATCTACATACAAATCAATATTATATGATAAGTTCATGTATCAGAAAATTTACGAAAATTAAAAGATGAAATAAACTATTCTTACAATGATGTTAATTAACATAAGTAGGTAATTTAATGAATGATAATAATTTTAATAATTTAAAATTGTAAATGCATGCTATGTTGTCACTTGTAAAACCTTAATTATACTATAGTTGAAGACACTGAAGTAAAATAAATATGTACTTATATAATAGTACATTAGTACCTAATAAAAACTTAGTTGACTGCAGGTAGTAAGTTTTATTAGAAATAACTAATAACTAGGCATAATAAGGACTTGTAGCTCTAAAAAATACTCAAATATGCACTTAAAAATGACCGAATATGCAGTCATGCATCAATAGATTACCTCCCCTCCGAAAAAAAAGGTATAAAAAATATGTGGTGAAATTAAATATTTATTTTATTGAAACTTGAATTAAAAATTACTTAATAAATTGCATTCTTAAAAGTTAATTTGTTTAAATTTTAGTCTTCCGTGTCTTCCGATCGTAAAGTAAATATAAAACAACGTTTAAATATTTAAACATTTAAATGTTGTAATTTCTTTACCTTGAAAATTACACGGCCACAATGGGATGTTTCCTAATGTTTTTAACGTGAATCTACGACGATTACTTGACTACTTGACAATAAATTTGTATACCTACACCGAAATGATGTTTATTTCTTTTTCTTTTTTTATTCTGTAAACACTTTTTCTCCCTMTAAACTTGCTCAAAAGTATCAAGTGCAGCATCTTTTCTGAAAGGTAATGTTATTGAGCTGGTACTTTAAACAGGTAATTTTTCGATTTTCGAAACGGTATTCGAAATAAAAGCGGTTAAAGAAGAAAAAACTTACGGTATCACGATTTTATAATATTAAATAATTATGGACGACGCTTTCTACCAGAAATATTGCTTCAAATTAAACACGACAAGAAATCTTTTTTGTTGTATTTTGGATTTCGTTTCTTATGGTTTAAAGTTGGAAAATTTTAGCCATTTTTGAGCTATTAATAGACATTTTAATTTTAATCTTTTTTTTGTAATTCGGTTAAAAACATTCGTAAAAACTTGAAATTTGGGTTGTTTACTTATATTATCCTTGCCTACCCATGGTAAAATTTGTCTAAAATCTTAAGTTATTTCTTTTTTTAAATTTTTATGATATTATTTCCTAATTATAAATTATAATTATAATTATATAAATTACCTATTTATATAAATCGTTATTCTTAAGCTGTTCTTATAACGCTTTGTATTTAGAAACGAATAAAATTAAATAAAAAAGGTTCCTTCGTCCACTTAAAATTGTTTTTTATCAAATACGATCATTTTCATTGTATTCAAATCGAATCCAGTAAAATTACACTATCCTGTCCGAGGGTCCCTTCTATAGACAAACATCCACCACCGAAATGCTGACCTACTTTTTTTAATAGTAGTTGCTAAATATTAAAGATCCATTGGCGATTGGCATGTTTTTTTTTATAATTATTTAATGTTCAAATTTTGACCATATTTATTAAAATCTTGAAAATTTGCAAACTATTTTATAGTTAAAAAATTATAAAATGTTCAATTTTTATAGCTAGACATGAAAATTCAGATCAACGATTCTCATAAATAGACAAATAGTTCAAATAAAGTTCATAAAGTAACCAAAAAATATAAACTCAGTTATTTTTTACAGATGTTCAAAATTGTACGAAATTACATATTAAAACTAAGAATAACGTTTTTTGTTTTTAGTTTTTGTAATTTAAAATATTAGTGGTGGGCATTTGAGATGTTTAGAGTACAATACTATTCTATATTGTATACACAATAAAATTTTTAAATTCAATTTATTTGGTGACAATTAATTTAATATACTGTTTGTCGTACAAACATAAAAATATGAAGAAAAATAAAAATAAAACAAACATCTAATAGTAAAATAAATTTCTAAATCACAATAATATCATACAATTAGTAGTATTATAAACTGATAGATAATCTTCGATCTG